GCTTTAATCTTGTAACAAAAAGGAAGCTTGCAGATTAATTGGTGATTAACATCATCTAGCGGTTTTGAATTCATTGGGCCTCCTACTTGAAAAGGTGGCTCAACACCGCCATCACGGTTTTCACATACACCTCATCGGGTGGAGGTTTTCTTGCACTGCCAGGCTGGAGAAACTTGCTGATTGTTGGTAAGGCCTTTATTTTCTCTTGAAACGCCTGCAAAACAAATGAAAGGTTATACAGTGCTTGAAGAAGGGCATTCATTTTTATCAGATAAATTACATTTATTTTCTTTAAAACTGGACCACGGTACTCTCTATTACTGTATATGTGACAACCAGTGGTGCTTTTTATCTTTATCAAATACATTAATTTGTATGGCCAGTGAAACTTGACATAATTCTGGCTGTTTAAGAATGCTCTTGTAATACACTGTAACTCTGAAACATCAAATATTGTAAAAATGTTGTTGGGTGAAACCGTGAAGCAGAAGCACCTGGATTTTGGGAAAGGCTGAAAGTATGGTAGGGAGCAACTCCTGCAACATCAGAGAGGCTTCAAGAAGGTGAACGTCAGCACGGCTCAACTGGTTTCCCACAAGGAACTGAGAGTTTGCAAGACCCTACAAACCAGAAACGCACCATAATTGCACAGTTTCATGCCTCCAATGTGGATAATCATGCATGGGATAAATGAGAATAAATAGTCGTCGGCAGAGCTGTCGGTACCTTTTCAAACACAGGAAGAAAGCGATCTGTGGCCTTCTGCTCTATAGTACTGAGGTGTATCTGTTTGTTTTCAGCTGGTTTGAAAGGATGCATTATAATCATATCCATTAGATCGCTGGCACCCTCTGAATACATGTCGATCCTTCAGGACAAAAACATGCATTCAGTGACAATTGCTTGGGTGTGGCGGAAAAGCAAGGCCACTTGGAATCATATCGATTACAAAACACTTTTCATAAACAAAGTTGACTTTTACATAGCCCGTTCTTTAAGGTCTTTTCCATATAGATTGTATTTTCCAGCGATGTAATTCAAGATGGCCTTTGACTGCACGAGCTGCATCCCGTCTATTTCAACCAAAGGCACCTGCTGAAACATCAGGGCTCCATCTACATTAAACATACGGATTGCGTTATTATATACGGTCATGAAACAACACGATTAGGAATTTAGTGATTAGTTAACATACCATTGAGCAGTTTTTCATACTCCTCTCTTTTGGTCAAAAACACTTCCTCAAACTGTAAAGACACATTCACAAATGTCATTTGCCATGCATACTATTTGCAACTTTTTTTTATTAAATATGTATGTAGCGTAAATTCCATTTAATCGCATCGACGTGAAAAACTTCTCCAGACTTCGCGCAACAAACCTCGACTCCAGCTGCAGCCAAAAGCCAACGGATCGACTCCATTTTTCCTCTTCCGTTGAAGTAACGCAACACAACTTTCTCAGACATTTTCACGAAATAAAGCGACACTTCAAACCTTTTTTT